AGACTAGAAACAGGGCAATAATGCAGTCTGTTTTCATGCATCTTTAGCTAATGATAATAGAAAAATAAAAATAGAATAGAAATATACCTACAATTTTTACATTTTTACTTTGTGCTAGGAATTGTTCTGAGTGATTTATACATATTAACTTCTACAATTCTCACTACTCTATGAATATCCGTTTTCTAGGTGAGGAGACTGAGGCTAAGAAACCTGCCTAAGATTACGTAGTGGAGACCTGCAGAGCTGGTCAGCTAGATGTCCCTGGGCAAGATAAATGCAGTTTAAAAATAATTTTTGTGGGGCCGGCCACGAGGCTGAGTGGTTAAAATTCCCTGTGTTCCACTTCGGCAGCCCAGATTCACAGGTTCTGATCCTGGGCGTGGACCTACTCTACTCATCAGCCATGCTGTGGAGGCATCCCACATACAAAGTAGAGGAGGATTGGCACAGCTCAGGGCTAATGTTCCTCAAGCAAAAAAAAAAAAAAAAAAAGAGGAAGATTGGCAACGGATGTTAGCTCAAGGCAAATCCTCCTCATAAAAAAATAATAATAAAAATTCTTTGGTCACATGCAAACATGGAAAATGAGCATCACTCTATGCTAGTATATCAACCGAGAAGCAAAGATGCCCACAAGGACATGAGCTGTCTACCACAGACCTGGGTAGAGAGATCATATGTGATGCAGAGTTAACTCGACACGTAAAGCATAACCAGGTCCCAAAAGAAGATTGGATGTGGTCAGAAAAACTCTCCAGCCATTATTGGGACACTAAATCTAGATAAGTTTCTCATACCTGTGACAGGTATTGCACTTGACTTCCTATTTCACACCATGAACTCCTCAAGAGAAGGAGCCGTGAATGTTCTCCATGGGTTCTCCATCAGTAAATTATGAGCTCCTCTAGGTCAAAGGCTATGCATTAGTCATCTCTTGCCATCTGTTTCCTTTGAATCCACGGCTAGCAACAGGCTCAAGTGGCACACATGAGGTGGTCAGCAAATGATAGGAAATGTTGAGTGCCTGTCACAGAATATAGAAGGTTCAAGAATATAGAAGGTACTTTGAAAACATTTGATTTTCTGGTAAATCAAGGAGCAAGAGAGGTACATTGGGGACATAACTGTGGCTCTTCTTCACTAGGCTCTTCTGCTGCCTACCCTGATTCCCACTCTGGATTCCAGTGAGCTTTGTGGCTGTAAGAATGGGCACAGTATATAAATATTTAAAGAAAACATAGAGGAAAATAAGTTGTAAGGTGATTAATGGAGTTAATTATCTAATTACATCATAATGGAGCATTATGTCAAAAGTATTTCATTAAAAAAAGAACAATTACCTATAATTAAATTTTAAATTTGATTGAAGAATGTTGAATTCATTACTGCGTTAGGGAGCTCCCCAGATCATTCCTTTCTCCTATTAATTCTATTTCTTTGAGGGTGAGGCTTCATTTAGTTTCTAAACATTTTTTTATTTTAATAAAAAATTGTATTTTAAAAATATTCAACCAAAGCATCAGCTACAGAAAAGAATTTACAATGTTAGAGGAGAAAAGATTTGTTAATTACTATAAGAGGCAGTGTTGAGGCTAAAGCTGGATGCGTCACTAAGGACAGCACTATTTGTCATTATCTCCCTCTAAAATGAGGAAATTTGGGAAGAAATGCCAAATATCACCCACTTGAGAGAGGAGAGATACTCCAGTAACCACTGAGACAATTGAAGGGCATGAGAAAGTATAGTTCCTATTCTTCAGTGGATACTCCTTTGTGTTCATTCTCCGAATCTAAGTCAGGTGCACTATGTAGTTGACCCCTCTGGATCCTTTACTAGTTTTCAGGTTTCCCTGGAAACTGCTTAACTATAGCCTATTAAGAGTTGGTAAATAAGAAGCAATCATTTCATCTGCAGTTGTAGTGTGGGTACCCATCACCACCAAGGGGGAAAGAACAGGAATCAGAAGAGCTTACTCCCAACTCTCCCCTACATAGCTTGGCCAACGTACAACTTTTCTTATTCTCTCTGAGACTTCCCAACAATGAGGCAAGTGTACCTTTCTCTTTACTTCCCAGGGTTGCTCTGGCTGTCAAATGAATGCTGTATATGACGCTCTATCTTAGAACCCATAAGCTATTGTCCATGAATAAGTTATCAGAACAACAAGCCTGAAATGATAGTTGCTTTGTCCTGGATACCAGGATACCAGCTAGCTTGACATGGAGACTTTGCAAGTGCTTAAGGCATGAGGCACATACTGTGTTTTTCATAATTCCAATTGCCATCAAGAATTGTCAATGACTTAGAGAGAATATTGATTTTTCTGGTGGTGTGTGCATTCAGGCTTTCTGCAGCCATTAGTGGTCCTCATAGAATTGATAGCTTTTTGAACCATGTCAATGAGATTATTGATTCTTGGAAGAGCCCTAATCTAGGAAAACTTTTTTAATGTTTGCTATTGGCTTTTATTAACATATAATGTAGCAACAGGATTGAAAAATTCAAGTATTGTGTGATTGCCTGGAAATCTCAAAGTAAAAATCAATGTAGCTAATCTATTTAATAAGTCATGAAACACACACACACACACACACACAACACAAGTGAGGGGAAGTCAGTTAAGATTCATTAGTAAGAAGGTGATCTCGTGTGAATGTGCTTTGCTGTGCCAGCTTGCTTTCCAGCCAATTCCCTGCCCCTATGTGCCAGCCATCTTAGCCAGAATCTAACATGCCAGCCTCTTGTGGCTCCTTTAGGGCTTCCTCATCCCCATTTCTGGCCCTTCTTTCCCTGCCTTGTTATGGAAGTTTCTAGTCCTTCCATCTCCTCATTCTATAGCTTCTTCCTCTAACAACCCAGCTGACTGGAAAACACTATCGGTCAGCTCTTTACAATTCTGTATGAATTTTCCATCCTACCATCAGGCAAGAAACAGGAACTGCAATATCTTCATGAACACAGCTTAGTAATGGCTTAAAATGTCTGGGGCACCAGGCATGGAAAAGTCTCATACAATAATTTAAAAAACCAAGATAACTAACATTTAAATGTCCAAACTGATAGTTAATCAGACACAAAGTGTTACAGGGCACAGCTTACTTACCTCAAAATTAACAACCAAAGAATGACCCACAAGTATCTCACTGCCTCCAGCACATGCTTTTAATTAACAGAAACTTGTTCACCTCTCTTTCTTCAGCTCCAGAGAGAGTGAACACAGTGTATCCTTAAATAGTCATATCTTTAAAAAAAAATGTTGATATAGGCAAGAGAAATTAAAATGTAGCACGGACAATAATCTAGTCACAGTGAGGAAAATCTCCCAAGTAATAATTTTGGAATTCCTACTAAGTTATCAAAAGAAGAAGAAAAATCCAATTCCATTTCTCTTTACAAATCCATTTATCTCTAGTTCTATGGAAAACAATGAAATGTACTATTAAGGTGGATAAATCTGGGTGCCCCTTGGTGATAATAGAGCCACGAGGGGAAATGAAACAGGGCAAGAAAATGGGATCACTTTTATAACCAAATTTCAAAATGGGTGGCTAAAGGATAACCAGGGTTATAATGTGCTGATTTTCAGAAAAGCCTATTGAGGGAATCTTCAAAGTCTTGGGGAGTTAATCTGAGCTTTGGGCATCTCATTAATAAGAAGATAACAAGGTATCCGCCAAGCAATGTATGTCTCCATCATGCAGTGTCTTTGGAAGCTTTGCCTAATACATACACACGTGCATAGCATATATATATTTGGCAAAATTAATGATCTGGACATGAGATGATTAAAGATTACAGTCTGCAGGGTATAAAGAGGGGTTGGCCAGCTCTGCCCAGTGAGTGCTAAGGCAAATACAATGCTGTCCATGTAGGAGACAATCTTTCCTTGATATTGATCATATATATGACCTTTATCCTCACAGTCTATACTATTCTAAGTTCAAAGAGGTAGAAGAGGCCTGGGTTATACAGGTAGGTTTGAAAGCTAGGTATTGTGCATAGACACATTTTAATCCTCCTCTACCAGGCATCCTACCCCACCACCCTCACTGCAGAACACAGAATGCTGTGAAGCCATATGTGTCCTACGCTTGCTGCCATCTTTGTATTTATCAGTTACAGAGTGGCTAACGGTAAAGTCCACAGTCCTGATGGTTAGAGAGGAGGCTTGGTTAGGTGTGTGTGGCACAGCCCACACTAGACATACACTAGAAAGGGCAACTGCTTGCTGGGATGATACGAGACCATTGTGAATAACAAGCTCCCTGAAAATCACTCCACCACTGTACCCAGATCTTTCTTTCTCCTCTGCTGAAATGCCTGAAATTTGGTCATTAAAATACCTCTCCTTTGAGTGGCGCATGGTGCAATGAGAGGAACATGAAGGCATATTCCTGACAAGCTGCCAATAGTTACTCCATGAGAAAATTCTCTCATTATGGAGGCAGCAAAGCCAGGGAGAGTTCAGCCAGAGCTGTGACCTACAGGGTTCTTCATCTGCCACAAAACCATTAACTAGAATTAGTTTCGTAATAAAAATTATGATAAACATAGTGTGAAGTCATTTTTGCAATGTTCCTTGCCTCTCTTTTATCACATTTAATCCTCACAACACCTTTATAAAATAGATACGGTTTTACTCATTTTGTAGATAAAGCAACCAAAACTCAGAGTACAAAGTCCTGGCTTTAAGTCACCCAATTTACTGATGGCAGAGCCAGATGTGGAACTCAGATATCTTAATCTAATTTTATTTTCAGTAATCCTAGAAATGTGGATCAGGAGACCTACATTCTAGTCCTGGATCTGATTCCAGATCACTACCTGGTTTTGGACCAGCCACTTATCCATTCTTTGATTCTTCCCATACTTAGTAGGAATAAGATGAGACAGATAAGCACTAAGTTTTGGGGGGTTTTCCCCTGCATTTCTCTTTGGGAGCACCTACCCTACCAAGAAAGTAAAATCTAACCACTCTCATTCTGATTTCTCCTAGGGCAATGGACAATCTCTAACAGAAATGAAACACTTAAATTAAGGAAATGAAGTTCCTGTGGGAGGATGTCAGTCACTACCAGCTGGCCAAGGACAGATTTTAAACAAACTTTGGAAATTTGGAAATAATATGAGCAATTTACTTTGGGTAGGCAATTAACAATGTAAACATTTCATTTACTTATTAACTATTATTTACAAGAAACTGAGCTAGACATTTAGAATCAGATCTTAATGCAAGATGCACACAGTGAGTGGAACTAGCCAATTAAAATTAATGTAATACAATTTGTGGTACAGGTATATATAAATGAGATTTCTATGTAGGGATTTGCCAGAAATTTTACAAAAGACTTAATGTTTGAATTAGATATGAAATTATCAGGGGTGATTTCCAATTAGATATAGGTGTGGAACTTGGGACATCTAAGCAGAGGAAATAGCATATGCAAATGCATAGAAAATATGTCTGACTGTAGCTTAGAAGACAGATTTAGAAAACCTCAAAAGATGATGATAGAAAAGTCTGCTAGGACTTGGTTGTAAGATACTGTTTTTTCTGTGCGAGAGGGTTTGGGATTTGTCCAACAGGCAATAGAGAACTAGCAGAGTTTAAAAGAACACAGCATGCTGATTAAAAAAGCAAAACAAAATTCCATAGAATTCATTCTTTTATCAATATCAGTGAAGTTTCTGAAGTCTAGGTCATGTTATCTTCTCAAAACAGAGAGAAAATTTGAGACAATGGACACCGCCAATTGTCCCAACCAGCCAGGTTTGGATAATCACAGAATTCAAGAATTCACATATATGATCTGGAGCCCAGTTGCTGAGTTGCTTTCCACAGGTATTTTGTCAATAAGAAAACATTGCAAATATGACCAATGAGTGGAGAAAGAATCACTAACACACTTAAGGGAGAGAATACGTGGAAATAAACCCTATAGAAATCCAGAACATGAAGGCCTTTAAGTGACTTCAGGGAGGAGGGATGACCAAGGACCGATTTTTACTGACCAACTGTCAATTTGTAATACTCCTTAAAAAACAGGCAAAACCAAAGCTATAGCACAGAGTAGAAATGATTTGATGATGTAATGCTTTTGCATCTGAGCTTTTAAAGCTCTTAGAAATCTTTTTAAGAAGATTGAAGACTTCAAACAAAAGCCAGGCAGCCTCCGGAATGGCCAATTCTAAGTGGAAGACTAGAGTCCAGTCATTCTCCAGGGAAAGGAACCTGATTCCTCGGTGAGCCAGGCGCTGCTCTGCTTGGTCACTCTCAGAACAGAAGTCCAGGAGCAGCTCCAAGGCTTTCCTCAGGATCTGGCCATCAGGCCTCTCCCGAATGAGTCCACCTCTCCCTCTGGATCCCCAGAAAGATGATTAAATGAGTCATAATTTAAGAAAGAAAAGGCTGGCAACTGGGACCTCAGCTTGAGGTCACGACTGTGTATAAAGAATGTGAGGAAAAGAATCCATCATTCCATTGATTTCTTACATCTTTCCCGTGGACTAGCAATTTAATGAAAAATAGCCAATTGTCCTGAAGGTGTTGCTCTTGGAAGGTGCCTGCATACCAGGAAAGCCATGAATGCCGCAGGGACCTCAAGCAGACAAGACCCTGAAGGCAGGAGGTGCAAGAGAGCTGAGAATCATGCAGACTTCAGCGTTCCCACGTGCTCCCCATCCCAGGGGAGAGAAAAATTAAAAAAAAAAAAAATTTCTTGACCTGGAGCTCCCTCTCTAGCTCTCCCTAGTATCTTGCCAATCCTTCCCACACTAATTTCTTGAAAAGTCTTTCTGCTCTCTGTCCATTCACTGCTCAGTGCACTTTACCGGAAGCGTTCAAATCAGCTTACCAATGACCTCCACATTGCTAAAGCCAGTGAAGTTTTAAAATTTCTTATCTGACTGGACCTTTTTGTCTTACTTGGTATTATTCTTTCCTCCTTTTAATGATAATAATAATAGAATAATAGCTAATATTACTGAGTATTAAGTATTTGCCACACATTGTGCTAAACATACATTAAAACTCCACTTTTTTTCCTGAAATGTAAATTTGGCATCTTCCTTGGTGAACAAACTAAGTTACATGCTATATGGTGGCACGTGAGTGAAGAGTCCTCTTGGTGTGCTGCGTACATAGGGACCATGGATCCTGCAGACCCTGTTGGAGAATACATCACTGATCCCAAACCCCATTTGCTGGTGGTACCAAGGCTCTGATCTTATCGCCCTCTCTGGCTGGGTGGTTTTGGGAAGGGACTAGAGCCCCCAGAGAAAGGCCTCAGAGAAGCAGAGACTAACTCATCAGCAATAATAGATGCCGGCATGCTGTATGAAACACCTACAACCTGAGATTATTTCAGTGACTGCCTGTCTTCCTTTTTCATTCTGTTTCTCTCCACGATAACTTTTGCTCTGAACTTTGTGCCACCGCACAGAGTACAGGTCAGCTAAGAACAGACTACCAGTTTATACATGACTTCAGTTCTATTCTAGGAAGCAAAGGCCATACGGATAGTCTAGAGTAAGTGAAGAAGGCCCAAAGAAAGCAGAAATCAAGTAGGTATATTGATGTTGAAGGGCCACTGCTAGAAGGTAGCGATTGATGCAGCATAAATGCCAAACGACTGTGTTCTTTGGTCTGGCCCAGACACGCAGCCAGAGCCCTAAACCTCGGAGGCCATGCTGCAACCACACACAGTTACCCACACGCTCCGAGGCCTCTCTGTGCCATTAAAGGTGGTTTCTTTGTAGTTTTCCTTAGCATGGATAATAACTTGCTAGTGTGTTTGTTATATTGTTTTCCAAGCTGCCACATGTTTTCTCTCTCTTGACCTTTAATGGCATTTACTGGAAATACCTTCATGTCCAACTGAAGTAAAATTTCATCAGATTTATTTCTATTTAAGGACATTACTTATTCAGAATGATAATATATTCCTTCTCTATATTCATGCATTAATGTAACCACATTATTTTTCTTCCTCATTTCTTTTAATAGCAGGGAAATAGTGAATTCAGGGAAAATTACTCTGCATAAAATGCCATGAGTCTTTTCCCTGGGCCTGGAGATATGAATTTTACAAGATTCCCCTCTGAGGAGTCAACAGCCGGAGCTCAGTAAACAGGTGGGTTCAATTGAGAGAAATTGAAGAAAATTTCCAAGACCACTCAGCTGAGAAAAGGTAGAATCAGGGGCTGGCCCCGTGGCCCAGTGGTTAAGTTCGCGCGCTCAGCTGCAGGCGGCCCAGTGTTTCGTGGTTCGAATCCTGGGCGCGGACAGGGCACTGCTCATCAAACCACGCTGAGGCAGCATCCCACATGCCACAACTAGAAGGACCCACAACGAAGAACATACAACTATATACGGGGTCTTTGGGGAGAAAAAGGAAAAAAAAAATAAAATCTTAAAAAAAAAAACCAGGGTAGAATCCGTGTTTACACTCGTGTCTATCTTACTCTGAAGCTCTTGTTCTTTCTTTCACACAATACTGCCTCTGTCTTCACATCTCCATAGCGGGTGTCTGAGTTTAAGAGCTCATAGTGAACAGAACCTGTTGAACACAGCTACTGCCTTTGTGACCACAATGTGATTATTAAATGAATTAGTTAAAGCATGAATGACATTGCTCATGACCATTGAGTGATTATCATACCTTTGAGCTTTGTGAAAAGATTGCAGTCGTATTCTCAAATTTGAATGAAAAATTTGTCAACCACTTAGAAATAATAGCCCTGGGGTTATCTTTTTGCACTAAGTCTTAAACTTGCTGCATTTTGGAATTACCTAGGGGGTTGCAAACAACGTGCTCAGGCCACAACCTGTACCAATTATTTGAGAATCTCTAGGAATGGGACCCAAGCATCAGTAATTTTTAAAGCACCCCAGCAGACTGCAGTGTGGAACCAAATCTGAGATGCAGTAACAGAGCAGTTTGTCTTTCAGTGCAACACGACGTGGCGTGCCCTTGGTAAGGGCCACAAGCTGATATAGGGTGGAGATCTATTCAGAGACATTAGAGACCTGGAAACTAAAGAATTTGGACAAAGTTGATGTTTCTCAAAATATAATCTGTGGCATATTTAGTCACAATTCGTGACTCAATAGACATATTAGTAAGAAATAAATAGGAGAAAAACAAGGCCCATTGTCAAATCTATTTAGAAAATGCTGGGTTAACCACACAGATTTTTTTTTTGTTATTGCTATTTTTGTTGTTTTAACCTCAGGCCTTTTCAGAGCCTTTAAAGTCCTAGCATGTGTTACAAATACCAAAAAGAAGACCTTGTCTGGGGCTGTCCTGGTGGTGCAGCAGTTAAGTTTGCACGTCCTGCTTCCATGACCCAGGGTTCACCGGCTCAGAACCTGGGTGTGGACCTATGCACCACTTGTCAAGCCATGCTGAGGCAGGCATCCCACATATAAAGTAGAGGAAGATGGGCACGGATGTTAGCTTAAGGCCAGTCTTCCTCAGCAAAAAGTGGAGGATTGGTGGCAGACATTAGCTCAGGGATAATCTTCATAAAAAAAAAAAAAAAAGATCTTGTTTACAGTGCTTTCTAAATTTATTTTAGTATATGTATTTTTGTTGTTGTTGTTTACATTTGGTAAAACTAGTGTTTCGTGGACCACTTTCTGGGAACAACAACAAAAGGTAGATAAAACCAACCACAGCTTATTGAGATCTAGGCAGTATGTTTCTTTAAATACATTATGCTTAATATAATAACATTATATTAAATATATTATGTTGTTTGATTTGGTCCACACAGCAATACTATGATTAACTATTAGCCTATGCATTTTATGGATGAGGAAATGGATGCTCTAGTGGTTAAATAACTTGCTCAAGTTCACACAATAATTAACAAAGCTGGAATTCAAATCGGGTCTTATGATTGTTGGTCCGATAACATTTCTTCACATTAACAGCTTCTATAGACGTTCTCAGGAAAGTCCCTTGCCACTGCAGGTTCTGCCTAACCGGCAATTGCTATACTCTGGCAATCCTGACCATTGACCAAGACTGAGCACTCTTTTAGGCAGTTCAACATGGAGATTAAATTTTCCTATTAAAAACTCTCTAGATTCTGCTTATCTGACTAAATACATTTTGTGTGCATTGCAGAATAATAGCCCACGATCGCCTTCAGCCCCTTTTTCCCTCCTCTAAGAAACCTACTACCCTCATCCGTGCCTCACATTGCTTACATCCCTTTTCCTGCCTCCCAGAGCTCTGAAGTTCTTAGGTAGTGTCTTCAAACAAGCAAACTCTGGTGACACAGACTCATTTTTTTTTCCCTTTAATGATTGAATGACTGTGCCGGGTACTGCAGGAATATGCATGAAAATAATTATATTTTCTGCCTCACTGAGTGAATGTTGGATAGAAAGATGACTCTGCCTATGGTGTAAAACATCACAGAGATCAGATCAGTTCGCCTGCATTTGCACATGGCTGATAATCAGCTCTCCCCATAAATAGGCAGACAGATGAAGCCAGTTATCTGAAAAGGTGTCAGCATCCTGTTAGCATCTGCATCCGTCTTGACTTTATACTCTCACAGCAAACCCAGCAGCAGGCTGAGCAACTGAGATGCTCTCCTGATCAGGAGGAGGCAATGACGCTGCCTGGAAATAGTCAATACAAAAACACTTCATTTTTCTGGAATCGCAAGAGAATCAGCTACTACCATGAGCAGGCTTGTCAGATTACCGAAATTTATGGTTTTAAGTGCCCAAACATTAAGCACATTCACCATTTCAGATTGAAATCTTTCAATATGCACAAAAAGCGTTTTTGATGCAACACATATATTGAGCACCAACTATGTGCCAGGTACTGTGACAATTACGGGGGACAAAAATAAGGATAGGAAGGTAGATGTTATGTGAAGCCTCAAGGGTAATTCCTCTGGATAAAGCACAGATTTCAATGACAGGCCTCGTCATTATGTCCATTCTGACTGTTCAGAAAAGATCCATATTTCTTCTCTGACTCTCAGCCATGGTCTATGAGGTGAGGCTGTTGGACAAGTGACCCTGAGAAAAAGAGATGTTTTTGTAAACACACTGCCATTCAATCCACAAACAGTCCCCAGGTGCCAATCATGTGCATACAGCACACTTTAGTCGCTGGCCATACTATGTTAAATAAAACAAAATGCCTTCCCTTTTAGCAGAAGAGACAGAAGCTAATCAAATCATGGATAGAGGCTTAGACAGAGGGCAGTGGGAACATCAGAACTACATCTATATTCAAATAGTCATATGTTTATGCAATTTCCAGGTATTCTGCAGGGGCAGAATGGTACATTGCAACTGGAATCAAATTAAGAGGGGTCCACAGGACCCTCTGATATGCTCCCACTTAAATTAGTGCAGCTTCTTCTATCACAGAAAGAACTGCCATCATTTCTATTCACTTGCATGCTCACCAGCCTCCTTAATACAGCCTCAGGGATTAAATGTTTCCCGATAGACAATGCAGGTGTCACTTCTGAGAAACGTGCACACTCTGTTAACACTAAAGGTGGCAGCCAATTCTGGAACTATAATTGGAGCTTTTCTTCTCCATTCCAGTTGCATGATTTCTCTTTCTCTTCAGTGACTTTCCTAACTTTATAAATGAATACACAGTCTCAGCCTCATGCTGCAGCAACGATGTTTGCTTAATCCCCTCAGCCATCTGTAAAGGAGGGGTAATACACTCTATCTGCTCATCAGTAGTGTGTGCATGTGTGTCTGTGGCTGTGTCTGTGTGCTTGGGTGTGTGCGTGAGGGCATAATGCAGATCATACACCCAATGAAGCCCACCTGAAAGCACATTTGTGCTTATTTAAAATTTAAACAATGCAGAGCAAAGCCATGGCTTTTGAGTCTGAAATCACCCTCAGAGCTGGTTACCTCCATTGCCCATTTGCACATGAATGTGGTCTTTGGTTATTAATTTTGATCCTAGGTGTGCAATGACATACACTTAAGAAAGTGTACTATATGCAGTTCTAGAATTTGCTTTAGCCAAATTCAAATTCTATGTGGTGTTAACTCATTTGTTTTTCATTAAGTTCTTTATTAACAGCCAAATCCCTTGATTATTGCACTTCTCTGAACTTTCTTGTTAATCTTACTTACAAGTCACATAATGCCTGAATACATTTCTCTGAAATGCTGTTGAGATAAAAGAGCTGACAGTGACAGTAATTAACTTCTAAATAAATATTAAAATGAGAGGGCATTGTAAATACCCCCAGTGCAACAGATACATGCCTAAGTCCCTAGCACGTTAGCCAGCCAGGCTATCATCATTTGAGCTGAGGGCAGCCCTGCCACTGATTTTGGAAGATATTCCTTTACACTATTTAGCGTACTCAGCTTCTTCTTTTCATTCTCAGTTTTAGCTAAAATACATATTTTATAGTTTCCTTTTTACACATTCGGCCTCTTAGCCATACGTTATCCTGTCCAATCCTCTACAGCTTACTTGCATATATAAATTCTCCCTAGTTAGGGACCAAATTCAACTGTTTCCTCATCCCAATTCCCACCCTTTTGCAATGGATCCTTGCACACAGTTGGCTGGGACCCCAATTGGTACACCACATGTCTGTGTCGATTTGAGGTACATTTGCTCATAAGATATTCATCTCAAATCTATCAAAGAAAACCTGTGAAAGTGCCATGTGATTGGCTGTCTGTGCCATAGGAAAGCAGAAATCACACCAGCAGGAGTGTGATGTCTGGCATCCAACTGACAGGGTTGAAATACTAGCGCTGACCTTGATTAGAAGTGTAACTTTGGACAAGTTACTTAGCATCTCTAAGTCTTAATTTCCTCACATGTGAAATGTGGAAAAACCAGTACTTTTCTGATGAAGACATTGCAATTATGAAATGGCATAATCTAAGTAAAGTGCTTCACCCAGGGCTTTGCAAGAGCTCACTCGTCGGCAGCTATTACAACCTTTTTTAGGCGTTCAGATGAGAGATCTCTGGTGGCGACACTTTAGAAAGCTTCCTGCAAGAGGTAAATACAGAAGAGCTTCAATGACTTAGATTTACCTGGATATTTTCACTAGTTTCTCTATGACAACAGCAGTGAAAGTGAGGCTCAAGCTGTATTCTCAAGGGAATCTTGTCTTTTAGCTCCAATGTCTTGTCTTTTAGGCACAATATGCTATTGCTTCTCTCTGATGCTCCTTTGTAACCCGAACTCATCTCCAAGAGGACAGGTGTGACAGGTAGGTGGCCAGCACCTTTCCTGTTGTTAATTTTGTTACCCACACAGCGGTAGGTGGCTTCAGAGGGTAAATACCAAAATCTTATGTGAAAAGGAAGTTAGTCCAAAATCAAACAAACAAACAGAAAAACCCACCTCTTTCTGAATAGTTCAAGTACAGGAAGACTGAGCAATATGAGGATGAAAGTACAGCAATTAAAGAAAACTAAAATGTGGAAGATAGGTCACAGAGTAGCAGGGCCGATGGGGTGAACAGCACCCTGGATGGTGTGGAATTGACTCTCTGTGATGACAGTTTGCTTTTCACATGTTCCTGGGTCTGGGTTATAGTATGTAGGTCAAGAGTACCCAAAGGGGTAGACCATACTCTGTCACTCTGCACCTTCGAACTTCGCCGACCCCACAGGTCAGGCAATTTAAGAGTAATCTGCTTGCAGAGCTTAGCCAGTTTAAATAGTGTGTGTGTGTGTGTATGTGGTTTATTTGATGATTGTGATGCTGAAAACCAGGCAAATAGAATTCGCAAGAGGTCACAGGGTCTTCTTTGTCTTGTTGAACAATAGCTTAATTAATCCAACCCAGGAAATGGCTAGAAGAGGTAAGCACATAGACTGATGAGTGCACTGACGGTACAGCATGTAGGGTGAAGGGACATACTGCCATGGAGAGAACTCTGTGCTGGCTGTGAGGTTACGCCAGCTTCAGTCCTGGCACTGCCAGTTATCACCGTATGATGCTGAGCAGTGGTTCTCAAGTGTGGTCCTAGATCAGCAGTGTTAACATCACCTTGAAATTTATTAGAAATATACATTTTCAGCCTCACCCTAGA